CAAACACTATATGAACCAAACAAATTGTTGATTAGTCATACAAATGATTGAAAATGTTAAGTAAAATTTATTTATTATAAATTATTATAAGTGTCATACAAACTATTGAATTTAAGTGCAATGAACATTATAATAATGATAAAAAGAAAAAAACATTAACTGAAAGAATTTTGTAAAATATATCAGAATCACAACCCTTAAGGCCTCAATAACATGTTACCCCCGGTAAGTTTGTTTGAACTTTACCTCATCTGTACTGTGTGTTGACAAAGCAGTCAACTTTTCCAGGAAGTCACTTGTAAAATCCAGCTCAAATGGAACCTATAAATATGAAAAACATAATTCATGCTAATATTATCATAAATATATTTAATCTTTATATTGTCACACTAATTTTACTATATTTCAGTCTTAAAATGTTGATCAGATCGACCTAAATGCTTTATTCAATTAACCTGAAAGGTGTATGATCATTTTGAATGCCAACTGTCTATCTTAATTTAAAGTCCATTAGTGAGAAGGAGTTGATGATTTGATAAATGGATCAAGTAATACATGTGGAAAATTTAATTAAGTCCTATATGGGATAATTAGTTTTATAACATGAAAACTGAGCAGCTAATTAGAATAATTGAATAACTGTAAGCTTGGTCTGCATGCTAACACTCTTTAAAGGGAATGAAAACACAGGCGTTTCATGGTATCCATGTCAATAAAATGTATTCTGACAATCATTCTGTGATATTGCGTTAAAAATATACCAAGCCATATTCCTGTAACAAGTAGTATACCAGTAACTTGACCAAAGGGGCCATATATATATGGTTTGTTGTAGTATTTCATTATCAAAGCAATCTATTCACATTATTCTTATGATAGTGATGAGAAAAATTTGTTCAGCAACAATCGGCACACTAATTCAGGATAAGTAACAATATCCCATGTATAGGTCATTTTATTCTTGCCCTGTACATAGACATTAGGATGTTACTTACACTATACAAACAACCCAGGAGGCAGGCTGTAATCGATCTTTAACTTAAGCAATGTTTTAGTATGTGTAAACTACTTTCACATTGAGACATTACAATACAAGTACTGTTACTAGCATTTCAGAATAATAATTCTACTCAGTGGCTCTGTCTTTACAAACATTCTATATGTTATACAACATATATAAGGGACTCACCAACAAACAAATAAATGGAATAAACATTATATAGTGGAATCCACTATATGTATATAGGCCTCACTCTAAATACTAGTTCAATGACCAGCAAGGTATTCACTACTTTAAACACTTAATGCATGCTGATATTACAAAAACAATTAGGTTTGTAAAACTCACCAAATAGTTTTGCATATCAATAGGATCAGGATTGGCTGCAGCTCCTTCATATCGTACAGCTGGATCTTCATAAATATCTGATTCTGAAAGGAAGCAATATCAAAGTATTACATATAGATTACTTTTAGATGGAATTTATTCTGGCAGGTAACTGCAATTGACACCTTCAATTTATTTTCAGTGATTTGTTAAAAATTCCATGGAGGAAAAGTATTTTCAATGGATTTAATATATTAGTGACTTACTTTAGTAAAAACAAATCCCAAATAAAAAATACAATATTCAACAGTAATTCATGATTGAATTGAGTTAATGTTTTAATGAAATAACGACTATGTAACCATAACACCCAGTAAACTCAGAATACCATAACTACCCCTGGTAGTTAATTAATTGATGGAAGTAAACATAATTGCTTTTTACAGGTGCATTAATTCATAAGATACAAATGAAAACTATGTCTTTGTTAAGCACAAATTAAAAGGATATTTTTAGATCAATTGAATAAGTAGTAGTCAATTAAATAGTGATTCATCTAGTGTTCAGATAAAAAACAAAATTATGAAACATTAGCCATGATTTGATCGTGCATCAGCATGCAGGTTGGGTAATACTTAGTCAATGGTAATTCTAATAACTAAGGTTTAATTTGAAAGTAAACTGCTTCAATACATTAGACTAGTTAATTTAATCAAAAAATTTGACATGCTAAAAATTAGACTGAAATATGCACAATAATTTAAATGTTTCAAGTATTTGTTGACGTTATAGTACCAACCCCAACCCCCATCTATATTCTAACTAGTCACACATTATCGGGACAATAAACAGATCTGAAAGGAATTATTATTATTATTATTATTATTATTATTATTATCATGATGATATATATCCATAACTGATTAAACTAAACTAAGCTGAACTAATGAACTACTTGAAATGTAATTTTCCATCATTGAAAAGGATAATTTCTTTACAACAAAAATTTAAAAATTGTAAAATATTGGGTATTAAAGTAAAATCTGAATGGGTGATATGAGCTTACAATATTATATGATTTTCATTGGAGAGTTCCATTAACAATTACTAAGATTATTAATTATACAAACCAAGTCCATTTTCATCAAGATACTTAGGTCGATTGAGTATATCCTGAGCCAGGCGTGAATGGTTATCAAAAAATTTAAATCCGACAAGTGAAGTGAAACTCATCTTGAAACCTGGATTTAAGCCACACAACAGGGCTTGCAGTTATCCCGGAGGCAGAATCACATCAGTAAATTCCATTTGTCAAATATTAAATAGAACCACAAAACAAGTAGACTTGTGATGTGTAAACATAGCTTTGCCAGTCAGTAATGAGGAATGAAAGAAGGGGACGACTGAGGTAGAAATCTACATAAGGTAATGATTGGCAGGGTGAATAAACTCTAAAAGTGCTACTGGTTTAAACCAAGCTGTAATAGTATCTGTCATAATTTGCATAACAATACCTACTCAACTACATCCAATGTTTTTGAAAGTAAAGCTATATCATTGTAAACAGAGAAACTGATCAATAATATCGGCCCTTATAGACTGTATGAACACACTTCCTGTACAGACACTAACACTGTTTATGGTTGCCATGGAAACAGAAAGGTGAGAGACATGCAATTTATTCACAGTACGTAAAGAATGTAACCACAAAGGTATGTCTGTTATATATTTTATAATTTTATGACAGTTTATTCAACTTGATTATAAGTCATCTTTTTTTAATCAAATTAAATTAAACTCAACTCAAATGTGGTAACTATGGCAACATTAGAAGATCTGGTATTTTTAGTGCAGAATAAATGTAACAATACTTAGTTCTTTTTTTTTTTTTATTATATTTGATGATGTGACCTTTGACCTTCATATATTAAAAATAGAATGATACATTATGTAATGTTCTGTACATTACAAGTGTTTATTGATAAACCCAAATCTATTCTCAATAGATTCAGTCAATACTAATGCAGTACAGCATTATGTTGGTCACAGTTTAAAATAATTGTTCAAAATTTACCATATTTAGTGAAATCCATTTTAGTTTCTTTCAATCTATACATAACATAATTCATTTATTATAAATCTGGTTATCACAAACAACTTATATAAATCATTTCAACAGTGAACGTTGGTGGCGCTATTGATGGAACAATATCAAATTAGGCCTGTGAGGGCTCTATAATCTAAACTGACCTGTTTCAAATGCATCTTCAGGAAGTTGGTTAATCTTCTGTCTTAGACTAGGACAGACTGAAAACAAAATGATTCAGAATAAGCACAGGCAAGTCAGGAAAAAAGTGATATGCATGAGTGAATTCATATATCATATATTAATTATGAGACTATAACATTTCTGTAAAAAGGGACGTAACATAATACATGAGAATGTTTTTTGAGTTAGCATGGGAG